GGGGGAATCGGAGGGGGAGACAAACCATGAGAGACTACAGACTCTGAGAAACAAACTGAGGGTTCTAGAGGGGAGGGGGGTGGGGGGATGGGTTAGCCTGGTGATGGGTATTAAAGAGGGCACGTTCTGCGTGGAGCACTGGGTGTTATACGCAAACAATGAATCATGGAACACTACATCGAAAACTAATGATGTAATGTATGGTGATTAACATAATAATAATTAAAAAAAAAAGAATACAGAAAATAAAAGACCTGGTTAATGCATGCCCTCCAGGGGCTGACATTCTAGTGTAGTGAGCAGCTGAGGAAACTGCAACCAGGACCAAATCTCCAGGCCCTGGTTTCAACTCTAAGAAGAGGAGTTTGGACTATGCACATGAGATTTCTTTAAAGCTCCCCCCAGTTCATGAGTTCATAAAATAGTTGAAATAATTAAATACACCATGAAGGTGACAAATGCTGTAAGATAATTGAATGCTCTGGGAGGAGAAGGAAAAGATGGCAGAGAAATGAAAACAGGCATGGTCTGGAAGGGAGGCACAGGTGTTGGCTCAGGGTTCAGCTCGGGAAGGTGACACAGATGGGCTGGCTGGTGGGAGATCCATTTTGCCAGGGGCACTGGGCAGAAACAAGAGCTAGAGCAGAGATTCTGAATGGAGACAATTTTGCCCCCCCTGCCCCAGGGGACATTTGGTGATGTCTAGACATATTTTTGGTTGTCATAACTCGGGGGGTGGGGAAGGGCTCCTACTGGCATAAAATGATAGAGGCCAAGATGCTGCTCAACACCCTACCCCCAACCCCACCAACAAAGAAATATCCCACCCAAATGTCAACAGTGCTGAAGCTGGGTAGTCCTGAGGTAGAGGAAGTATTGGTATGAAAAAGGGCCTGGATTTGTGGTGCCCACGTCAGTAGGTCTTGGTGCCCCCAGGACCCGGCCTGGAGGCAGAAGAGAAAGACCTGGGACAGCTGGGTTCTCTCCGAACCCCTGGTCACCTTAAACCAGAGGGCTGCTCTCTCTTCTGATGCCTGCTTCAATTTCATGAAAGCCACTGTGCACAGGGTTTGTTGAGGATTGCTTTTTTGTATAAGCAGAGTTTTAAATTTTTATAAAGTCAAGTCTGTCTTATATTTTCTCTTATGGTTCTTCTTACCCTTCTGAATTTTAAAAAGTCCTTCACACACACTCTTCATACCTCATCAAAGATTTGATAAATATTCTCTACCATTTTCTCACCAATTTCTTATGGGATCCCTTCCTTAAATGGGTACCTCTTCAATTCAGTCTTTTCCAGAGGGTGCTAGAAGTATTCTTGGGGAGACTATGACTCTGGGAATTCCATTGATAAATATTTTTGTGTTAATGACTTTGTGTTCTTTTCAAATGCATATATAATCACGGTATCAAACCTGTATTTTCACAGATGGCATTGCTTAGGATCAGAAGTTTTTAAAGATGAGTCAGTTTTGAAACTTAAGTAGGTAATAGTGTGAGTGATAAACAAAATATGGCAAACTGGTGATAGGAGTATGAGAATGGCTGGTGTTTAGGAAGCACTAGTTAAATCACTTGAAATTTATTTTGCTGTGTAGTATAGAGTAACATTCAACTCATTCCCCTCCACCTCACCTCCAGGTTGTTAACCAACTACTCCTAACCATTTATTGAATTTCTCATTGATCATGATTTTTTAAAGTCATATATCAATTCTTATATGCAGTCTTTCTGGATGATCTTTTTTGTTCCATTAACCTTTCATTAGCCTTCAGCTATTACCACACTATTAATTACTGCACTTGACTTAAATATCTAGCCCTGCAGGTCTTCCCTCCCCATGAAGAGTACTGATTTTGAGGACGGGGGTCAGGATGGGAGGATGTGAAAAGTCAATGACATGTGGACAGGAGTACAACCAGGAAAACCCTTGAGGTTTGATCTGAGTAGATACAGTTATAGGGCCAGAGCTGGCCGATATTCCCAGACCCCTGAGTTAAAAGTGCCAGAACAGAGCTCTGTTCCCAGGGAGAAACGAGGAGGAACAAAAAGGAAATACTGGGCATTGATTTAAAATGTGAAGAACCAATGATACTCCATGCAATCAAGAACTAGACTGGGAAGGATGGAAATTTGAGACCTGAGGAAAAACCTGAGGGAGAAGGCCCTCGGCAGGACGTAGCATACTTCCTTTTGTTGGGTTGTCTGGCTGTGAAGTGGGAGAATGTTGCCTGTTGCCAAATAATGCTGAAAAGACATTTCAGTCCATCAGGAAAAGACATGTATGTTTTCACACACATGTATACACAAAATGCACACACAGTGTTATAACTACAGACATGATAACCCTAAAGAAAGCAGACAGAAAAATCCAGACTTATATCCAGTGTAGAGATAAGCATGCACTTCCCCCAAAGAGTGCTCATTAAATCACAGGATCCCTTGAAACACACAGCTTTGCCAGTGACTTAATCATTTCTTTGGAGTGTTCTAACACCCTGACTGAAAGGCTAGATGGAAATTTAAAAAATGAGAAAAGTATGAAGAAAGAGCTCTTCAACCACACATCCTATAAATCAATGGGAGAAAAAAGTATTTAATTTAATAAAAATAATTAGTCTCACAACTTTTTAAAAACACACACAGGGAACAGAGTGGACTAGGTACTGAGGATGGATGGATTCATCTATCCCTTGGCCCAGTGTGATAACAAAGCAGGATGAAACTTCATGGCCGTAGAGGCCCCCTTCAGAATGGAATTTCCCAGAATTGAATGGATGGTGGCACTGGAAAGGGACCTAGAAGGCTTTTACTCCAAAAACCTATATTCCAGAGGAAGAAGCGAAGGACCCCATTATTCACCCATCTCCTGTTTCCCACTCCCAAAAAAAGTTACACCACTTATTATTTTTCCTGCCACCAGAAAGCAAATCATTATCACATTTGGTTGGAGGCAATGACTGAGTCAATCATTGCTGCCTCTGTTGAACTTCTGGCGTCTCAGGTTTGGAATGTGATGGACAACATCCTAACACATGTGAGTGAGAGCAAGAGAAGACCAGGGGCAGATGCTGAATCATGCTAGAGTAAATGCCAAGTCATGCTAAGTCATGCTAGAGCAGATGCTAAATCATGCTGAGTCATGCTGAGGTGTACTATCCTCTGGGATTAACTAGGGGAGATTAATCCCAAAGAAGTTTGTCTCAAGACTCAAATGAAAATCTCAAGTGGAAACCCTGGTACGAATTGAAACAGTGTTCGAGTGGGAAGCAGGAAGGATCTGGAGGCCTACTTCCCTGTAAAACGCTTGGGTCTGTGGCTGGGCCAGGATGTTGCCCATTCTGGAGAAGCCAGAGTGAGATCTCATCCTCCCTCTGTAGTTCTCCAGAAGGGCTGCAGGATCTCCTGGTGATTGAAGAGGGCTTTGCGAAGAAGAGCTGGGTTTATAAATAATGCATTTCCTTTGTCTTGCAGGGATTCTGGAGGCAGAGGTACAATCAGATCAGCTGTGAACAGCTTACATAGCAAATCTAATAGGTTTGTAAATTAGATTTTGTGTTCATTTGTTTTTGCTGTAAGGCAGCTATTAATCTGCTTCTCCTCTTTGCTGGATGGTGCCCTTCTTACTTAGCAAATAGATCTGTTTAGTTTCACTTTGGCTTTGCATTTCCCTAATCACTTTTGGGGAGGAGCTGTCAATAGAAGAGCCCATGAAACGGTCCAAGGTCTAGAGGCTGCAGAGATGGAAAACTCAGATGGGTAAGAGCTACTTTCTGGAAAAGAGCCCACATGCTTGGAAGCACTTGAGCCACCAATGTGCTTATTCATAACTTGCGTTTTTGCTGAGCAGTGGAAGCTCTGAAGAGAATCAGGTCTTTCACTCAATTTCATTGTGGTAGGTGGCTTATCCAGGAGATTAAGATGGAAAATAAAACATTCAGGAACTTCACAAAGACCTCTTAAAAATATTTAGGGAGTCAATTCAGTAATGTTAATCTTGATTGTTGAATGCACAATCTAAATTCTGAAAGTGTTTTTTCCTGTGATGATCCTTGGCCGGGGGCTGCTCAATACACAGAAGCAAGCAAATGCTTTGCAAGCCAACAGACCCACACTTGCCACTGGCTATGGTTGGACCATTCCTCTGAGCCCCCATTCTCCACTGATGACAACTGCCCCATAGCTATGACCTACAGTCTATGAGCCTGAGCTTAAGGAACATTGGAAGGAAGAAAGAATGCCACATTATTTGACGTAAATAGCCACTACTGAAAATGAAGACCTTGTTTTACTTTCTAAATATACTATTGTGGTCAGTCTGGGAATGAGAGATCCTAATTATTTGGAGTAGGGTCATTATTTACCCTTCTATAGATTTTTTTTAGGTCTCTTGACCATATCAGACCTATTCAATATGTCCATTCCTGACCCCACATGATTCAGGAAAGTGACCCTCTCTCCCTGACATCATTGCTTCTAGCTATCTAATGACCTCTTAACCACCTGGGAGCTACAAATGAAGGTTGCACTATCTCTTCTACTGTGGAAAAATGTCCCCTTTTGGAGAAACAAGATCTTGACCCTTGATCTTGCCACAGCTGTGCCCCATGGTAACTTGAGGGTAGAAGAGTCTTACTCAAAATCAAGTATGAGAAGCAGGAAGAAAAAGTCTTGGGAGCTAAGCAGACCTGGATTCAGTCCCCGTGCTTGTTAGCTGGGGCCATGGGCAAATTATTTCTCCTCTCTGAACCTGTTCCCTCATTGAATTAGAACAACCCACCAATCCAGCTGAGTTTGTGCAACATAGAGCATGTAAAACCAGTAACCTGAGGTGGTTCCTGGGTCACCAAATCCATCCCCTCAGTGTTACAGAGAAGAAGGCAGAGGCCAGAGACCCAAGGTGACTTGAGCAAGTCCCCCAGCTCAACTGCCACAGAGCCAGGTTTAACTCCAGGAAGACCGTGGCTGGCAGTGCAGGGTCTCCACCAAGGTTTCACTAGGAAGTGGAGAGAGAAATGGAATTTTACCACTAGTCATGCCAGTGTTTATCTATTTCCCTTCCTCACCTCCACCACTCTGTGTCCCAGAGAAGCCTGGAAACTCCTTCTGGGCGAGCATCCAGGATAGATACCTCTGCAGATCCTTCTGGCCTGAGAGAGCCTGGGATCACCCAATGTGCCCCAGTTTCTGGGAAGCTTCACCTTAAGATCAAATCCACCTTAAGCCATAAGATGCCAGATTCTGGTCACTTATTACCCATGAGAATGTCAGCTACCCTGTTAGGAAGACAATTCCCCATCACAAGAAGTCAAGTGTTTCTGTCACATATACCATCTGATGTAAGCTACAGTGAAGTTTGGGTTCTTGGGGTGGTCCCAAGTGCCACTGCTCCTGCCTGTGGCCTGTGCAGAAGGAGGCAGTGCCAAAGGGTTATAGCCACAAGCAGTTCCTCCTGGAGCCTCACAAGAGGGCAATCAGTGAGAGGTGCAGGAGACCTCACGGTCCTTACAGAATTCTAGATCCTTAATGCTGGATATCTTCCTCTTCTACACCCTCTTTCTGTAAATGGGGAAACTGAATCTCAGAGAGGTAAAATGATTTACCCACAGTCACACAGCTTGTGAAATCTTTCCATGACACCTTCTGCTTCCTTTCATGAAAACAGCAAAATTTCCAACGGTCTTCTGTTTCCTCTTCTAGTCCTCTGCAAAAGTTACATATGTTTGAATCCAAGACCAGCAATATCAGCCAGAGGAGTCATGAGTATTGAGCAATGGAGGTGTGTGGGGAGAATGTGCAGAGACAATTTGCCACCCCCAGCTGTATTTCTTCTCTACCTACAAAAAGCAAAATAGAGCATTGGCTGTAGACCTCGTTAAAAGAATTGCATCTTTTTTAACTTAGCTGTTTCAAGATAAATGCCGACGACATAGATAATTTGGTTTGAATTCTTTAGAGCTCCAAAGTTTAGCATCACAAATCCACTTATCACTCAAAGTGGGAGAATCTACTACCAGCACAGACAAAAGCAACACCTGATGTGACCCACACTCATCTGTGCATGTCTGACAGAGGCAGGCTAGCTACTACACTGCCTTTAGAGATGTAATTGTAACCTAGTTTCTTAGAAACCTACTAGCATAGATTTCAAACCTCAGAATTCAAGCGGGTCCTGAATGCTCAGTGTTCCTGAGTCAGGTGGAGAGACGGTGTGCCACCAGAATTGTGATTTGCCCTGGGCATACAGGGCCAACCAGCTCCTTCATCCATCCAGGCTCCCCCAGGGTGAAATTCAAATTCAACAAACACTTATTGAGCACCTGCTATGTTAGACCTTTGGGGAATGAAGAAATGAATGAGGGAGCTCCCCTGCTTACAGCCTAGTGGGAGAGGGAGACTGAGCACCGAGAACTGTGGAACAAGGTGTGAGGTGTCATCTGAGAGTACAAACGGGGAAGTGATGGGGTAAGGAGGAGGAGGGGGAAGCTGCAGGCTGCTTCACTTTCCCCTGGTATGAGCTTTTGTTTTCTCTTTATTAAGTTTGTAGACTATCTGATGACACCCAGCTGCTGATGCAACTGCAGAGTTTTGCAAAAGTAACTTGAAGACGTATTACTATTCCAACAGTGACAGCTAGATTTCACTGGGAGGAGACATTGGGGTGGGGGATGGGGAGAAAGAAAGTTCTACCACCCCCTTCCCCGTCTCCAAACTGGATGTAGCGTATACCTGGAGGAGAGAATTTGTGCATTCTAGAGGATAAATAGACTTCCTTCCCTTCTCGGGTAATAACTGCAATTTTGCTCTCCCAAAGTTTACATCCAAGCCCGTGCAAAAACAAAACTATTAGACTTGTCATCGGCATGCTAACAGATCATGTCTACCCTCTTTCTCTTTCTTTTCCCTTCCAGAGCTGAAGTTGTAATAAATGGCTCCTCGTCACCAGCTGTTGTTGACAGAAGTAATGAAAGCATTAAGCACAACATCCAGCCAGCCTCGGCCAAATGGAGGCACAACCAGACGCTCTCTCTGAGGATCAGGTAGTGGTAATCACCTATAGGACAAGAGACAGCCTTGGCCTTCTTCGGCACAAGCTGGCAAATTGCTGCTTTCCATCATCTAAAGAAGTCAGGATAGAAATAAAATGTTTACCTCCCACTGAGGCAGGTTTCATCTGTAAGCGATCAATTGCAAATAAAAACCTGAGACAAGCCCAGCGGCCCAACACATGTGTGCAGTGACTGGGGCCGGGGAGGTGGGCAGGAGCACCCTGCTGAGGTCCTGGGTTCCGGAAGGAGTGAGGCTCTCGGGTTGGCAGCAGCAGCAGGAGCCTGGGGGGTGGAGACCACAGGTGGCTGCTTCCAGGGGATCCAAAGCAAGTGTCCTTCTCGGGCGGGAGACGTCCCCTGCTTGTACCAGCCTAGTACCTGTGCTGCCGTCTGTGGGTGACCCAGGAGCTGGTATGAAGAGGAGAGGTCTGCTTAGCCAGAGAGCAGCTCTTGTCCTGAGCTTCGAGGGTGATATCTCAGAGCTCTGCAGTCACTGCTGGGTGGCAGGGATGGAGAGCTGTATAGAAGGAATTACAGCATCAGCATTTTGAGTACTTGACATTGATATAGCCATGACTGACCCAGCAAAGCTTGGTCAGTAGAACCCTGGCATCGTGCTGGGGGCCCGGGGTGCTAACATGAAACAGACATGCTAGCGGGGAGACGCAGATATAAGACAGGACAGTGCCATGTGATGCACACATTATGAGATGTATTGCATCTCATAAATCGGTGGAAATACAGAGATCACACTGAGGAGAGAACACTTCATTTTGTAAGGCGACGAAGCAGGATAGTCAGGAAAGGAGCAGTGGGATTTGAAAGCTAATTAGGAGTTTGCCAGGCATGCCGAGCTTCGTCCCGCTTGCGCACAGCCTGATGTCTGGTGTTTGGGCTCCGTGCTGCTGGAGCACAAAGTAGGAGGTAAGGAATGTGGATGGGGAGGTTGGCGAGGTAGCCTGGACCAGATGGAGAAAGCCTCGACAATGGCAGCCAACCTTCCCTGGCCTTCCACCGTGGGGAGGGAGAACAGGGGGCCCAGACCTACGAAAGTGTCACCACATGGAGCAGGGAGGTACCCCCTGTAGGGTAGGCTCACTGTCAAAATGGAAATGCCCCCACCCCTCAGTTCTCAAGGCTTCATTTGGGGACATGAGGGGGTGTGGAGGGTGGGGGCTAGAGAGGCATGAGACCCAGGACCCCGCAGCTGAGAAGCCATCTGAAGGAACTGACTCCTGGCACCACCCTTCTGCCATCCTCACCAGCGTGCCTTCTGAGGCCCCCTGGGTAGACAGTTGCAGGCCTACGTCACTCACCCTTGGATCAGCAGCACCGTTGGATCAGTCAGTGAGAACACGTGTAATAGTCTCCCAGGGTTGCGTTGCTCTTAACCAATTCCCACCCCCTTGGTGGCTTAGGACAACAGAAACGTATTCTCTCCCAGCTCTGGGGCCCAAGTTCCAAGTGCTCCCTCTGCAGGGCCGGGGTGGGGGGGGGCGGGGCGGGGGCAGGTTCCTCCAGCCCCTCCTCAGCCCTGTGGCCTCGTCGCTCCAATCCCTCTCCCCATCTCTTCTCTGTGTCTGGGTATTTCCCTCCCCCGCTTCTTGTAAGGACACTCGTCATTGACTCTAGGGCCCACCGGGTAATCCAGGACCAATTCAAGAGCCTTAATTTCATTACATCTGCAAAGGTGCTATTTCCAAATAAAGCCACACAACAGGTTATGAGGCTTAGGAAGTAGACATATATTTGGTGGGGGGAGCACCCCACCTCACCATCTGTGAGAGAAATCTTCCCACCAGCACACACCCACCTGCATCCCCCTGGCCCTTCCTCTGCCTCTGGGTAGACAAATGGACACTTCACACACACACACACACACACACACACACACACACACACACACACACACACACACTTTCAGAGAAGACCAGGCCATGAGGGCCTGCAAATACACAACCACTCTAGCAGAAACAATGTGCCTTCACCCAGGGGGGGGAAAGAATTCCCTTCAACTTCCTTCAATTAATCACCAAAATTATTCTTAATAAAAGATGCTGTAAGTGATTTGGAATGATGTTTAATAATTGATAGTAATTTCTCATAATTAGTTATAAATCAATTCACTCACAGAGGTGTTTATTTATGGACTTTCTGGGAGACTGTCCTTACTTTTAAACACTTTGGGGTGAGTAATTGCAGAGGTTTTAGCAATTGTCATGCTGTATCAGTTTGTCAAATTGTATAATTCTTGGTAAAGGGCAGTAAATAAATATAATACCTCTTTTCCCATCAAGAGATACAAATTATTAAGCAAGGGGTGTCTCCCCTGCATGATGGCAAAAGATCCAGGTCATTAATAAGAAAAAACTAGTGGAAGAAGAGCTTCGTGCCCTGCCGAGCATTCTAGCTACTCCTTGGCTATGCTAGTCTCCCAAATCTGGGCGCACGTTAGAGCCACCTGCTGAGCTTTAGAAGCTTGCAGACACTGAGCCACTCTCAGAGTCAGGATTTCTCAGGTGTGAGTCCAAACCTTCTGAATTCTTTATAGTTCCCTGAGAGCTTGAATGGGCACCTTACTAGGACACACCGCTGGTGGTCAACATCTCCAGTTCTACGGGCTCTCAAGCATCAGTGTTACCATCTGCACAGTGGGGCAACCATCTTGCAAATTCGCACATTGGCAAAGTGCAGGAAGAAGTGTTGTCCCTCCAGGCTCTGTGGAAAGTAAGACTGGCATCATTGTATCTATGCTCGATAGGGGCTTGCTGCAGGAAATGAAGTTCATGTAGGCTAATGTGGGGACCAAATTTCTTTCTCTCTCTGACTTGAATCATTTCTCAAGATCTTTTAGGAGATTCAGACAGTAAACACCCCCACCCCTGGCTAGGATACCCCAGCTAGGCCTGAGTGATTTGAATAAATCTCCCCAGGTGATTCTAAGAAGACACCAATCCTTTTTCTGACCACACCCCATTCCCTCTGTGTACTTTGCTAGATGATTCTAGAGCATTCCCCCTAAATCAAAGTCATCCTGGAGCCTGGGGAGCTGTCCTTTGCTCACCTTTGTTCTGAAATAGCACAAAGGAATTTCTCTGAGGGACCAGAGAGGATCAATTTTTACAAACCCCAAACTAGACAGCAGCAGGGGGCAGGACAGCACACACCATGGAATGGACCAGCTCAGGGACAGCAGGCCATGTTCTCCATCTCTCAAAGGGAGAGTTGACACACCTCACAGTATCCACACTCCCGTTCACCCCATGGGACATCCCTCTGCCCAGAGAAGATTTTTGTGGAAGAAAATAGACCACTGGGGTGTGAGAGACAGGTGTCATCCTGGCTTCCTAATCCTGGTTCAGGAACCCCTGTCAGATGCTGGCCCCGAATCCCACTGAGAGGGGAGTGTGATGTATGGTGACCACTGTTTGGAAATGTCCAAGACGGGTTCCCTGGGATGTGGGATTTTCAGTGCCAAAAGCAGGCCGTCCTGGGCAAACCAGAATGGTGGATCACCCTTCCTTCCAGGGCCTTCTGTGATGAGTTCACACTATGTCCTAGTGGAGTCATTTCCCTGGGCAGTTATCAACTCTCATAGGAAGAGGCTGTAACCACAAAAACCAGACTGGCCCCCACCTTAGTTGCCTCTGGGCTGTTTCTGGTACACCCCACCTAGAACCCATTCTCAGGGGGCACCTGAACTCAACTTCACCTGTGTGCTAGCTGCATCAGGCCACAGGGGGACAGAGAACAGGAAAAGCTGGTTTGACAAAAGGCAGTTGGCAACAGGGAGACTTTTTCCTCATGTGTGTTTGGTTTCTATAGGAAACAAATCTTGAAGTTCTTGGATGCTGAAAAAGACATCTCTGTCCTCAAGGGGACCCTGAAGCCCGGAGACATCATCCATTATATCTTCGACCGTGACAGCACAATGAACGTGTCCCAGAACCTCTACGATCTCCTCCCCAGAACCTCGCCCCTGAAGAACAAGCATTTCGGGACTTGTGCCATTGTGGGCAACTCGGGGGTCTTGCTGAACAGCGGCTGTGGGCCGGAGATTGACACGCACAGCTTTGTCATAAGGTAATCGCAGCAGGGGCTCTGGGCCCAAAGGGACAGGTAGGTTTAAGTGGAGCGTGGCCAGTTGTCCTGAGAGGTTGAAAGAAGAGACGTGGCTTAGGTTAGTCACCGTTCTCAGCTTTGTGCATTAGCATTTCTTGAGGTGCCTTTAAAAGTCCCAGTGTCCAGACTGCACCCCAGACCAGTTAAGTCAGTCTGAGGGGTCAGCAGGATGTAGCCCAGGGAACCCAAACCCTTCTGGTGTACAGCCAAGGTTGAGAATCCCTAACCTGGCACAGAGGTAGGCAGACTATGGCCCACAGCCTGTTTTTTATCAATAAAGTTTTATCGGAACATAGTCATGCCCATTCATTTTCATAGCTTCAATGGCTAAATTAGTTGGGCAGAGTTGAAGTGTTGCAACAGAGAAAGCATATGCCAGAATCTGAAAATAGTATCTAGCCCTTTACAGAAAAAGCTTGCCGACCCATAGGTAAAGCCTAGGCCAGCCAGTTGTCGGTTCAAGTTTGCAAAACTCTTATAAGTGTTCTTGAAGGTGGTTCTCTGCTAGTAACTATTATCCTGTAGTCAAAATCTGGGAGGTAAGGGGGTGGCAGAGAAACTTGGACTTGACCATCATTCTCCCTGAAATATCAGCTCTTTGTTCAGTCTCCTGGGACCCATTTGGACTCAGTTACCAATGGCCCTGATACCTGACCCCCAATCCAGACAGACTGGAAACAAGGCCTTGCTGTCCCCTGGTCAGAAGTAGGGCACACAGAGCCTCGAGTTTCATCCCAAACAGTGCCCCAGCCCTGGCAGAAGGGCATGCCACATCTCACGTTTCCTCCGGGGCTGTCCTGATGCAAAGAGAGCCTTGTCCTGGGGTTTTGGGAAGCGGCCTGCTCACAGAGCACCCTGAACTTCAGGACGTGGGATTAGACACTGTGTTTGCTCCTGCATCCACTGTGATGGAAGCAGCCGAACTTTGCCAGATTCTGCCTGCGCCTGGCATAGCCCGTGGCTCAGCCCCCATTCTCAAAGCCCTCCAGTCTACAGACTCAGGGACAGAGGGGGAATGCAAGGGGGAAGGAAGCAGGGCAGGTGTCTGATGGAAGCCAGAGCAGGGGTGAGGGTGCAGGGGCGGGGATGTTAAAGGTGCCGGCAGAGGGCAAGAGTAGGGGGTGCCAGGCAGCATGGAGCCGGAGGCCTTCCTGGCTTGGTGTCACGCGTATAAGCCATGCCTCTTCCTTGTTTGCAAGCTCCACCTAGCCCTGCCCTAGCACTTTCCAGAGGCAAGGACACATTCCAGCCAGTGGTTTCCCCCTGGGGGCACTGACCCAGGGAGATGAGTAGTGTGGTGTCAGAGTCCGGTCTTGCTCTGCGGCTCATTTGTCACGTGACTTGGGAGTGTATCACTCCCCTTTCTGGACCTCGGTTTAACCACCTGTAGACCAAGCGGGCTGGACTAGCCATGTTTAAGGTCCTTCCGTTAGGAATACCGGCTGTGCTCTGGCCCAGGGCCCGCAAACCCTGACCAGCCCAGGAGTCCTCGGGAGCGCATTCAAGGGTGGAGTCATCAGGGGTGGGGCCGGAGACTCTGCATTCCTAATGCCTGTTGTGGTGCCGCCTGCACTTGGAGAAGCACGGCACAGCATGCTTTGCCTTCCCCCGGGGGCCGTGTCCACACCTGTCCACGGGTGCTTAGTAAAGAGGGCCCTGACACCAAGTAAGAGCTCCCCAGAACAACACATGGTTGTCCTTTGACCTTTAGGTCTGTCTCTGCGTGTGGCTTGCACACACCAGCATGTTTTGGGGGGGTGGACTTGAGTGATCTTTTAGGATAAAATTACAAAGGCGCACTGTGACAGACACCTTGTGATGCCAAGTGGCAGCCCTGCCCCCCCCCCGCCCCACCAGGGGCCACTCCTCTGGGCTCTTCTCACCTTGGGGGGATCACCCACCTCCCCCCAGGGGATCCTACAGGCCACAGCCCCCACCGAGAGGAAATGGGGTGCAATGCTGTGGCCACTGCCTGAGTACGCATGTGTGAGTGTGCCTGGACGGTGTCTCCGTCCGATAGAGCACACTAAGTGTTCATTCCCTGCCCTGCCTTTCCCTGGGGTGCAGGGAGGTCACCCCACGATTCCACACCACCTCCCCTGTAGCATTTGCCTGTCTGAATGAGAGCTCTCCATGAACCCTGTGTCTCCACCCAACCGCCTCACGCTGACCATGAGCTCCCCCAAAGCAGGCTGCTCCTGTCCATCTCTGGATGCCAGTCCAAGCCTGTGCCTGGCACAGATGAGGGGCTCTGAGCTGGGGCTCTGGGCTCTATGGGATAACAGATACCAGGAGGGTGTCTTGGTCTCTGTCAATTGAAGTCTTTATCACTTTGCCTTGCTCCGTGTTAATTGGGCCCCTCCTCTGCGTGGGAGACACCGAGACCTTGCCCCCTCTCAGAACACTCTACCCTGAACAGTGGGAAGATGCCCTGCATGCAAAATGCAATGAGCTTGCAAAACGCTCAGCCTTCCTGGGGGAGTTCAGGGCAGCCTTCTGGAAGAAGTGGCATTCGAGCTGGCCGACTTTGGCAAATGAAAAAGGTGAGCAGGAGGAAGCAGCATGAGGAAAGCCACAGAAGTGAGAAACTAGATTCATGGATCGCGGAGGCTGGGGCTTGACTGAGCCCGCTGCCAACATATAGTGCTGCTGGGACCTGGGGCCGGATGGGAGGGCTGGTCCTGCAGTGTCCCCGTGAGACTACAATGGCAGGTTGAAGAGACTGTCTGACTCGGGGTCATCTATGTACAGAATAAATTCCCAGATGTTTGCAGATCAAAACTTTATTGTGTGCTCACCCTCACACACTCACTCACACAAACACACACACACATGTGCACACTCACCTTCAATAGGGAGAACCTAATGAACCAATGCCCCGTCACAGACCAATCACCACCCTCATCATGCTCATTAGGCACTTAGCATGTACTAGGTATAATTCGATGCACTTCGTGTTTATTGACTTACGTAATTCTTGCAACAACCCTATCAGGAATGTTCCATTTTGGGCTGGCTTCTGAGATGCAGAGAGCCACAGGTCCACAGCACACTCGGGTGGCCAGGCTCAGGCTGTGGGTCCAGACAGTCTGGCTCAGAGCCAAACATGAGCCGCCTCTCTCCCCGGCAGGTTGCCCCTCCCCCATGCCTATGGCCATGCCTGTTTCTGGAAGGGACAGACTCCTTTCCAGCCCAGAGTCATGCCTATCAAAGCAGTGCAGCCCACATACAGACCGCCCCCCCCCCCCCGCAGAATTTGCTCTGGGAGGCCTGGCCTGCTGTTAGATCAAGCTTACTCCCAACCTGATTCCCCCCCCTCTGACCACCCACATAAGGAAAATTGCCCTGTGAGGGAGGGGCACAGCAGGACAGAGCTGCCCCCAACATCCTCACTCAGGAAGTGACCCTGAGACATGGTCATGGGACTAGCCTGGCCCTCACAGCCCTCCCCTGCCTGGAACACCTGCCATGAGCTGGGTCCCATGTTGAATGAGGTGGGGAGCCTGCCTCAGGTTGCTCACCGCCCCAGGGCTCCTCCAGAGTCTGCAGTAGGGCACTTGGACGACACCCCAACTGACCAGTATTGTAGCTGGGCATGCACTTGCCCGTTTCTTCTCCCCTGACGAACCTGGAAGCCTACTGGGGGCAGGCTCCACATCACTTCCTTCTCTGCCTCTCCTGCAGCCCCCACTGGTCCATGATAGACTCAGTAGGTCTGAACCACATTGAATCCACTCCCGCCTGCTCTCAGGACCTGGAGGTTGGCCCCGGGGGAGGCCCCAGGCTCTCAGGAAGGTCTTGGAAGCCTGGCTTAGCCAGGCTTCAGGACAATAGGGGTAATTGTCCCAAACTGGTGGCCATGATAATGATACTCCGTTTCTCTGACATCTGAGGCAGGGGCCCCTGAAGGTGTCCCAAAGCATTTCCTCCCCCTTGCAGTGTGTAGCCACAGTCAGAGATAGCAAGGTCAGGGTGGGGATGGGGACGGTGGATATTTTAGGGGGTCTAGTCTGAGCACAAACAGGCTTTTGAGTCAGACACATCGGAGACTGAGTCCTGGAGGTTCTCTTACTAGCTCTGGGCCTCTGAGCAAGTTACGTTGCACATTCTGGCCTTGGTTTCCTCATCTGTAAAGTGAGGGTGATTAATACTAAGTCTGAATAAAATGAGCCGACCTATGTTAAAGGACCAGGGGCTGGCACACACCAGGAGCGCAAGGATGTTAGTTTTCTTTCTGATCATCCTACTTTTTCTCCCCAAATGTTGAAGGAAGAAAGTCCTGGCTTGCAAGGAGGGTGAGTGGTGTCTCTCTGGATCTCATCATTTGGCAATGACCTGTGGCCCTGGTCTTCATGTCTCTATCCTCTATTCTATAAACACTTATTCTAGTTTCTCAGACTTAATTCTATTAGTCAAAAGGCTCTTCCACCATCAAATCCTCCATGCAGGAAACAGCCAGGTCTCCCCTGTGGCCACCCCAGGCCCATCGGCTTGCAGCATGGGCAAGAAGCCCCAGTGTGCACACCCAAGCTGGACCCATGAAAGTGGGAAAGTTCCCCACAAAGCAGGCCTCTGGTGAGATATCAGAGGTTGCCCACCCAGACAGGGTTCCTGTCGAGTTTAGCACGAAATTGCAATGGCCTTTTTATAGTTTGTCCGCCCAGACCCAATTCCATCCAACACAATACGTACTACAACTTCATCATATTGTTGTCTATCTGTTGCCTAAAATGCAAATTTGTCACGTTACTCTCCTGTTCAAGAATTTTCTGTGGCTCCCTTTTGCCCTTGGAACCACATCTGTGACATACAGTCTGTGCTTGCCTCTCCAGCTTTGTCTCCTCCACACACTATGCCCCAGGCAGAGCAAATCACTTGCCCCGCCCCCAGATACCCACACTGTTTCCCATCTCTATGCCCTCAGATACATTTCTTGTGCCTACAATGCTATAGCACAATGTTTCCTAAACTGCCTGGTCATAAGAACTACCTGACTGGCTTGTAAAAGTAAGTGTCAGTTCCTCAGCTCACCTGTTGAATCTGGGTCCCCAGGTGAGAGACCTGGCAAATCTGTATTTTTAACTACCGCCTGAGGTGATTCTTCTGCTCTGCAAGCTGGAGAAACACTTTTCTAATTGCCTCATCCACAAAGGGACTAATGCTCATCCGTCCTTCTAGATTTCCCTCAGTGGTCACCGCCTCTGAGAATACCACCTAGTGCTCCTCCTTCCTGTAGTAACATGACACTAGTTCACACTGAGATCTTCGTGTGGTCCAGCAGTGTTCTGAGTACTGGGTACGTAGTGACTCCTTTAATCCCTGGGAGGGGGTGCTCTTGTGCTCTCCATCGCAGCTCAAGAAACCATTGTGCATATTCCTTAGCTGTAGGAAAGCTCTTAGGAAGCACAGAGAGGTTGAGAAGGTTGCCCAGAATCACACAGGTAGAAAGCAGCAGAGGTGGATTCTGAACCTGGGAGTGTGCCTTCAGAGCCCTCACTGTTACCTGACGTGGCCAGGTCACACCCGCCTGTAGCATGGTCGCTTTGTGGGCTGAGGGCTGGCTTACTTGCCTCCTTCCTCCTTGACTAGAACTGGAACTCCAGAAGGCATGCATTGTGTAGCCCCAGGGACTAGTGAAGTTCTAGGTGTGTGGTAAGAGCCTAGTAAATGTGTGTGTCAGGGAAGAAGCAGCAGGGATGACGGGGGGGGGGGGCAGGGGGCAGTGCTGGAAGATGAGGAGGAAAGGACAGGAGGTAAAGGTTGGATAAAATGAACTATAGGCCGCAGCATCTCACCTTCCCCAAAAGAACTGTGATGCCTTTCTCTCTGGCAGGTGCAACCTGGCCCCCGTGCAGGAGTACGCGCGGGATGTGGGGCTCAAGACCGACCTGGTGACCATGAACCCCTCGGTCATCCAACGGGCCTTTGAGGACTTGGTCAACGCCACCTGGCGGGAGAAGCTGCTCCAGCGGCTGCACAGTCTCAATGGCAGCATCCTGTGGATTCCCGCCTTCATGGCCAGGGGTGGCAAGGAGCGCGTTGAGTGGGTCAACGAGCTCATCCTGAAGCATCGCGTCAACGTGCGTACTGCATACCCCTCTCTGCGCCTGCTGCACGCCGTCCGCGGGTGAGCGGCCTCTCCACGGGCCAGGGGGCCATCACGGAGTCTGGGAGGGGCTTGGTGGGCAATATTCCTCTCCCGGCTGCACCTGCAGCCCAGCGTACCACTCAGCAAGCCCCCGGGGCCTTTCTGCACTTCCCTTCCTGGAGAAAGGAGAGGGGCGGGCAAGTGGGTTTCCTCCGGCATGCCAGTTTTGCCCAATCCGTAGTGCCCGCCCAGAGAGCTGTGTTGAGAACAGTCTTCCCGTTGCGGCTCAGAGGGAATGAATCATAAGGGGCAAGGATGGAAGGAGGAAAATGTGCTGGAAGCTCTTGCAATAGTCTGCGTGAGGACTGACTGTGGCTTAGACTGGGGTAGTGGTAGCAGATAGGCAACAGGTGGCTCAGATCAGCTGGAAACTTTGGAGTAGAGGCCTCAGGATTTGCTGATGGGTTCTATTTAAGGACCTCAAGAAGGGTGAGAAAGAGAAACATCCAGGATAGCTGTTAGGATTAGAGCTTGAGCATATGGGTGTGCATGTTTGGGGCTATTTAGTTTGGGCATATTAAGTTCGAGACGCCTGTTACAAATACACCTCTCCACACTCCTGACCTTGCTCATCCGACCACATGGCAGTTCACCGTCCTGCTTAGTGGCACCAGCTAGTGCACTACACAGACCCCCATTGACATTGAAAGGCTCTTTACTGGGGCCCAGGCATAACTCAGTGTGACCCTGGGAAGCTCTCTGACCAACCCACAAAGGGGTCTGGCTGTCCTCACAAAGGTGACCCCCGAGTCCCCCGAGCCTATGACCAGCCCTGGTCTCATTAGGGTAGGTTGCCAGCACAGAAACCTATTACCCCCAAGAAAAGCCGAGCAAGACATTCAGTAAGAGGTGGCCACACTTGTGGCTGATGGAGCAGAGTGACACCTGATGGACACAGGGCTCACTGGGGCCACATCCCTTATCCTGGAGGTTGACCTGTGAGCCTGCCTTGAGCATCCGCTTCATCCCTGCTGTCTGTCACAGCAACCCCCATCTCACAGAATCTAGGCTCCATGCCTTAATTGTTGTCTCTGCCTGGAAGGAGGAAAGTCTTTGCATGGTTTGGAGGTCAGAGGGGATGAGAGTAGGAGGACTAGCCCATGGTAAAGAGAAATAGTCCCTCGGACAGGGAATGGGCTACTACCCAGAAGAAATGTATGCAGCCAGAGCTATTTCCAGCTATAATTGACTCACTTTCATCTGTCAAAATAGCATTAAGCACCAGTAATAAGCCCTTTAAACAAACAGGCTGTTAATCCTGGGATGGCAACATCTTCCCTTGCAGGAACTCCCAGGAGGAAATACTGCGGGAGAGAACGGGGCTGGTTTCTGCTTTTAGCAGGAGAGGAGGTGGTGGGGAAGAGGGTTTCGGGGGCCTTGGAATGGATTTCCACCAATGGCCCTCTCCCTCTGCAGGGTGCGGGGTCCGGGTGGGCATTACAGGAAAGGTGGGCAGCGTCTGTAGTGAGAGTGAGGGCTTGCGCAGACTTGGTGGGAACTTCCCCGGTGTTTGCCACAAGAGAAGGAACGGGCTGGGGGGATGGGGGAGGCACGCAGAACAAAGCCACGGAAGAAAAGACCAAGGGTTCGTAGAAAAGATGGCTGAGGAAGAACCCGGCCCAGAGGCGGTCTGGTCTAGCATGACAATCATGGGCTTTGGAGTTAGGGACACCTGGGTTCAAATCCCACCTCCATTACTCAGGTGGTGGAACAGGTCCCTTGTCTCCCCTGAGCCCTGTTTTCTCTGTCTCTCGCTGAGGAACCCTGCCTACATCCGAATGTGTGTCCTGTGCTGGCCAAAAGGGACACATAAGTCAGTCATGGCTACTGCCACCAACCCCCCAGCAAGGGATTAGACTTGTCCTATAGACTTAAGAGGCAGAAGTAGGACCAGAGGGTGAAACCACAGGGAGGAGCATATATTTAGGCTCAGCTTGATAAAGGATTCATAGAACGGTGGACAAAGTCAAATTCACCTGTCAGGAGTTCTTCACCTCAGAGTTCCAGTGTGGTCTGTAGCTTAGAGAATAATCTTGTTTCCATATTTAAAAATCTATCATTCCATAAACCCTCTATTTATGAGGTGGAGGGGATAAACATTTTTACTGTGGTAAAATATACACAAGATAAAATTTACCATTTTGACCATTGTTAACTGTGCACTTCAGTAGTGTCAAGGATATTCACAGTGTTGTGAAACAAATCTCCAGAACCTTTTTATCTTGCAGATCTGAAACTATACCCATTAAACAACAAGTCCCCTTTTCCCCAACCCTCCCTCCCGCCCTCCAGATCCTGATATGGTAAACTTTCTACCTCAGTTTCCATGAATGTGGCTACTTTAGATTCCTCATACAAGGAGATTCATACTGCATTTGCCTTTCTGTGACTGACTGATTCCACTTAACATGATGTCCTCAAGGTTCATCCATGCTGTAGCCTGTGCCAGATGGCCTTCCTTTCAAAGACTGAATAATATTCTGTTGTACATATATAACAGATTTTGTTTGTCCCTTCATCCGTCGGTGGACGATTCGGGTTGCTTTCACATCTTGACTATTGTGAATAGTGCTGTTGTCAAATTGGGTGTGCAGATATCTCTTTGAGACTCTGTTTTCAATGGCTGGATCGTATGGTAGTCCTATTTTTAATTTTCTAAAGAACTTCCATCCTGCTTTCCATGGTGGCTGCACCATTTTATGATCCACCAGCAGGTGCATGAGGGTTTCAGTTTCTCCACATTTTCCCTGACACGTGTTATTCCATTTCACCACATCTTTGCCAACACTTGTTATTTGGTAATAGCCCACTTTCACCACTTACACGTGTACAATTCGATTAGAAGAAATTGGCTGTTAGAGGAAAATATAGTGGAAAATTTTTGTAACCTTGGGTTTAGCAATGGTTTCTTAAGTATCAAAACACAGGGAATGAAAGACAAAAGAGATAAAAGGGACTTCATCAAAACTAAAACTTTTCATGGACTAAAAAGCCAACATACTCTGAGAGGGGAAAAAAACCCACCCACAGAATAGGGGGAAATAGTTGCAAATCATGTATCTGATAAGGGATAAATATCCAGAGTACATGTGGAACTCCTACAACTCAACAACACCACAAATAAATCAAACAACCCAATTTTTAAATGGGCAAAGGACTTGGATGGACTTTTTTACAGAGAAGATACACAGATGGCCAATAAGCACATGAAAAATGCTCGACATCACTCAGCATTGGGAAATCGTAAATCAAAACCACAGTGAGTTACCACTTTCCACCCCCTGGGATGGCAGCTATCAAAAAAGTGGGAAATAACATGTGTCGGTGGGGATGTGAGGAAATCGGAATCTTTGTGCCTGCTGGTGGGAATGTCAAGTGGGAATCACTTTTGAGGCATCTTAGTATGTTCGTTCTGCAAAGGAGGAAGTTGATGCCCAGATGAGTTGGGTGATTTGTAGGAGGCCACCGGGCCAGTGAGGAGAACAACCAGGAACTGAAGTAGAGCACCTCACTCTGGCCAGGGCACCAGAGGCAGCAAATTCACACCCAGCCAGTTCTGGATTTGGGGCCCCCGTCAGCTCAGTGGGCCAGGTGCTGTCACACCAGAGAAGCGGTGTTAGGAGACCACAGAGGGTAGCGGTGTATCAAGACGCCCTGGGTACATGGCAGCTCTTCTGAGTCTGGGGCAGCGTTCCCACCAGGCAGAACAAGCTGAAAGGTCAGAACACCTCAGGGTCCCACCAAACACCAGCGGGCATCTGAGGCTTGACACGGTCTTGTGGAACCGCCTGTCGAGGCTCTCAGTGTTGTTCACCCCTTGACCCCATCTTGGCCTGTGCCTCCCTCATTCGCTTGACTGCTCCTTCACATCCAAGCCATCTTTCCGAAGGAAAACAGCTGTCCTCAGCAGCTGTGCATCCACACCCTCTGAATGCAGCTGGGTGGCTTGAAATACCCAGACATGTCCATATACAAGTCATTGTGCTCCTAGGGCTGGTTTAGTGTCCCTAGTCCATCCATTCATGGGGAAAAATCTGTGAGATGCTCTGGTAACAGCAAATAGGCTTGTCACGAAGACCAAATGAAATCGTTTATATAAATCACTTTAGAGCCCAGTGCTGGTCATATTAAGTCCATCTAGCACTACAATCTGGCACATGGTAGAGCCAGGCTTCATGTGAAGAGACCACATGACCGCAGTTTCAGTTCTCCTGGTTAAACAATCTCCTCCTGCACTTTTGTGGTTATTAGCCTACTTCTTATTATTAATTGTTTAAGTTGTAAGTGCCTTGAGGTCAGGATAATGGCACTTCATGCCTCATCCTTGTCCCCTGCTTAGTGCCTGATACTGGGAGAGCATCTGGTGACTGGTCAGGGGGTCCCCAGTGACCACAGATTGAAGAAGGACATGGAGGAGAATAGATGAGGGACACAAATAACCATCCCTAACACTGCTGTGCTAGACACCATGCTAAGAATTATGTCATGTAATGAGGGAACTAGAACCAACATCCTATTTTAAAGACAACAAATTGAGCCTCAGGTGGTAAGTAACTTGTACAAGGTTGCATGGCTGGTAAGAGTCAGATCAGGACTCCTCCCTTGCTCCTGATCACCACCCATTTGCCCCTGTGAACAATAACCAGGAAATAATGACAGGGACCCTAGAAGAATAATGTGGGGAAGGCCAAAGCCAGAGTTCGAGCTTATGAAAATACTAAGAAAAACAGAAAGGGGGCTCCTGGGTGTCTCAGTCAGTTGAGCCTCTGACTCTTGATTTCAGCTCAGGTCATGATCTCAGAGTGGTGAGATGGAGCCCCGTGTCAGGTTCTGCGCTGGGCGTGGAGACTGTTTAAGATTCTCTCTCTCTCCCTCTCCATCCACGCCTCCCCCCACTTAAAAAAAAAGAAAAGAAAAACAGAAAGTGTATTTTATGTTTCAAGTAAAAAGAACCAAAAAGTTAAGGGCAGGCGGTGTAG